AAAGCCATATATATTCCTCTTCAGTAGGCCACAGTTTTAACTGTGCTTTAGTCTGTGCTTTTGAATCTCACAGGTGTTGACTGCTGCAAATCTCTGAATTTCTTACTAGTTTTTTTAATTCAGTGTAAATATTCTAAATTGTTTCCTCTGAACCCACTCAGCAGTTCCTATATAGTTAAGGACAAGCTGGTTTTATTTTCATGTAGTTTGTCTCACAGTATGTAAAGTTGCCCCTGCTGTGGAATCACTAATCTAGATGGTTTTCCTGGTGCTCTACTGTCTTACACCTCACAGGGCTACCTGTAGGCTCTGTACTAGGGAGAAAAAAAAAAAAAAAAAATTTCTTCACCTGGAAAAAGAAAGTCAGCCTGACAGGAGCCAGGATGGAGATCTGTAAAGTGAGAGGCATGGAGAGGGTAGCAGGGAATAAACTCCTTAGTGTTCTTTTTTTAATCCAAGAACTCAAGGGAATCATGGAAGTGGTAAGTAGCAGGTTGCAAACAAGTCAGGGTATCTGTTCAGCTAACTGTAGAACTCCTTGCTGCAGGATCAAGAACTCAAGGGAATCATGGAAGTGGTAAGCAGCAGGTTGCAAACAAGTCAGCATATCTGTTCAGCGAACTGTAGAACTCCTTGCTGCAGGACGCTGTGTATGAAACTGCATGGATTTAAAAGGTGACTGAAAAATTCCCAAAAGGAAAAACATTGCCCTGTTCTCTCTGAACATCACTGACCCAGAGACTGTTGGAGACCGTGAAAGCTGGTCTGACTGACTGCATGCTTATCCTCTTCAGATTATTGTAAGCACCAGTGCTTCATCCCTCCTGGGCATGTAGCGGAGAGTCTTCTCCTGCCACAAGGCTTTCTTTCAGAATTCAGAGAGCAAGTTGCTTGCTCAGCCTGTGTGAAGGCACTGCAGGAACTCTGACTTCATGCACTAGTTGAAGAACACAGAATCAATGACCCGTCTTCCTAAGGCATGAATGCTGAAGCAGAAATAACTGAAAATCCTTCTAAAACAAATGATGGGAAAGCTTCTATTTCTTTTTTTGTAATTAAAAATTCTGAATGCCACCTATATCTTACTGGGAAAAGTGAAAAGGGAAGGGTGCATTTTTGGTATAGGGGGTTCTAATTTAAGCTACTTGTTTCATCATCTGGTCTCACATGAACTGGAGCATTATGGCCTACTTTTAATAGTGTTGTGATCAGCACCATGCATTAATTAAATGAAGTTTTTTAATCAGAAGAGCTGTCAGAAAGAGTAACTCTGGCAAGATATTTTTATATGTTCCTATTTTTTTAGAGACAGATAGATATATCCAAACTGTTCAGTTTTCATTTTACCAGGACATTTTTTTTTACATACTTGTCTTTACTGAAAGAGTTGCAAATCAAACATAAAAGCATTGATGTATTCTCTGATAAAAAAAAACTAAAAGTACACTTATTTATTCAAGAACAGGGCTTCAATTAGGAGCCTGTGTGCCTGAAATGTAACAGAAAAGTCCCTTACCTGTCTGTGACAACAGAAATGCCCTGCAACTACTAGGAAGAACAGAGCTAGAAGGCAACCAATGCTGTTTGTGAACCTCTGCAAAAGACTGTTTATACTTTCTCATTCTTAAGTTGTTTGGAGAAGAAATACATTCCTAGTGTTTACAAGCAGGGAGAAACTATCCGCTGTAAAAGAATTTTGTGCCCTGCTCATAAGTGTCACAACACTTTATTTACATACCTGGTCAACTGCAATAAACTCCTGCTTAACTTCTGTGTTTCCGGTCTGTAAAATACTGTTTTCTTTTTGTCAAGCCAAGATTTTTTTTCTATATTTCTGAGAGGAAGCTTCTTGCCATTAAAAGCACTTACCAATTCAGCTACCAGTTCCTTTCCTTACGGTTACCTCACAGTGACATTAAATGGGTTAGACCAACGTGTGCCTTTCCTCAAACTAGAACGGCTTCTTTGCAGTCTTGTCTGTACACTGTACCACTCACGAGGCAAAGCTCGTTAGACTGACAGCGTCTATTAAAAGCCAATTAGGCTTTCCTCCTTCTTAGTATATTAATCTTTTGAAGGCAAACAGTGCAGGTTGCTTGACAGCTCCCTACGGCTTAATTTAGAGGTTAGTGTTAGTTATGATTTAGGTTGTTCAAAGCCAGATTCCTGTATTGGAATTTAGACAACTGACATGAATTTAAGAAGTGAACCTTCCTGACTTCAGGTAAGCATGACTTGAAATTTCGAGACAAAATGGTTTAGAGGAACTGATTTGGTGACATGTTCTGATCTGTTTAAGCAGGAAAACTTTGACAACATCAGAGAGTTGCTACAAGATGTAGTTGCTACTACATCTTAAAAGTAGCAAAATCAGTGTGGTTGACTTTTTGCAAGATATGCTAAGCCAAACATCAGGAAAAACCTCAGCGACTAAGGAAAAAGCCATTTCAAGTTATCCTTTCTTACAATACGCCCTTGCATCTGTGATGTGCTGTCATAGTGTGCTTATTTTTGTATCTGAAAGGTCCTCTTCTAGATCTCCCTTGCTTTTTAATTGTAGAACCAGCATTTTCTGATTTGAGACACATGTAAATTTGAGGTCTGACTTCAACATGCTATTGAGTATTGTATTTCTCTGCTTTTGGAAGAAATACAACTTCACTTCAGCACGCAGAGACCAGAGAGCACCGAACTTTCTCCTGGAAACACTCAGTTGCCTGCATTCTTGGATGACATGAAAAATGAGAATCACTTACCCAAATAAAGTGGTATGGATAAAGAAACAGTTTAATTTTATCCTTTTTTTTTTACAATATAATTCAAAGACAGTCTTGATTTCCCTATTATGTAGAGTCTAAATTAAATCTGTTAATATTTATTAGACAAATCAATGGTTTGCTTAGGCTAACTGAAGTTTTATGGTACCATTCAGGCACATGTGTGTACACAGTACTCATGTAAACAATAGCAAGGGAAAATACAAGCAGTGTTTCACTTAGGCCTTATATAAAATCAGCTTAGTATAGCAAGTCAACTTTACAGTGCAAATCAGAATGAGAATAAACAGGATTAAAACTTCCCAAGTTTTGTTTTGAAGTGAAAATCTTAAAGCATAAGAGGAAGAAGTGAGGTTTAAAACTGTAATGCAGTCCTGAGTGCCACATTGTTTTCTTCAGTTTTGTAGAGGAAGTGTAATTAGCAACACCAGTTACATGTTTTTTGCCCGTCTCAGTCGCCGTGGCCAACGTAAGCACGTGGAGCGACTGTACAAAGAACCACACCATGGACGGTCCTGTAGCAAAATGAAATCTGTTTTACTGCCCCCCGAAGACAGCCCTCCTCCCTGCAGTGCAGGCGTCAAGGTACCTACCAAAAATCAAGCAACCTGGTCTGTACGAGGCAAGTTACAGCCAACTGTATAGACAGTAACGACAGCTACTTCCACTTGGACAACATCTCGTGCGATTACCCTGCTGACAATTAAATACAATGCTGAGACAGAGCCGCTGAAGAATACAGCTGGTGAAGGACTTGAGCTTAGTCTCTCTCTTTTCTCATTGTTTAAATCCCTTTTACATCCAGGTGGTACAGTTGCTTGAGGTGTGGTTGATTCATATAAAGAAAAACAGAATTTAAGGCATGTTCAGTATATTATGAAAAAAAGACTCATTAAAAATAGGTGGACTCCCTTCTTTCCAAGTAAGTACAACTTAGAAAACAAAGTGTATATTACAAAAACTAGCTGAGTTATCCCACGTTGACCTGCTTAGAGAAATAAAAAGAGGGCCTCTGGCACCCTTGGAGAGAAACAACCAGCTACCTTAAACAGCTAAGCAAAATTCATTGAATGTAAGAACACTGCTAGTGCTTTGAGACCCTGCATTCGTGTACGCTTAGCAGTACCTCTGCTATATCCATCTCTAAAACATTTAATTCTATCATTCTAGACATAACACAATTAAGCAGCACTCATGGAAATTGTCAGTTATTGCAAACCTGCAAACACAACTGCAAATAAACATCTGATAGGGAACAGAAGCATGAATCCACATCTTCCTGTCAAAGAATATAATACAGGTGAATGAAGAAAAACAAATTAACTCATGTTAAAAATATGATTCACTCTTGCAGAGAATCAGCTTCAATGTTTCAAGTACTTAGAATTTTTTTACTAGGAGTACAAGCAAAGGCTGTGCTAACGCGTTATGTAGTGTAACATGAGCGTTTACGTGAGGTATAATCTGTAAGCAGTTGCCATAAATACGTGTGGGTGCAAGCCGTTGACTTTTCTGCCACAGTTATTCTTTAAAGAAGTTGTGGACTGGAGAACAGCAGAAGTCTGCCTTAACAGGACAGAACCTGTCCCCTGCTGTACACAACCTCCACTCTCAACAAAAAAATGCAAGTCCAGAAAGTATGTTAGATGTATATCAAGAATATATATATGTTCAATATCGTAGTGAAATTATCCTTTTGGTATTACTGATACTATAGATCCTATTGGAACTTGGATATACACATAGAGGAATATGCACATCCAAAAGTAAATGTTCAAAGCCATCTTAAAAAAATAAAAGCTAAATTAGGAATAAGCTACATTGCAAGAAGCTTCCTGCACAATTATATATTTACGGTGATAATCCTTGAACTAAAACTTAATATAGCTACTGCACTAAAAAATGGCTTGCTGTGAAATCTTAGTGTCTTTTTCCCCACCCAATCAGACATGTCTTCAGGATTGTGATTCAATGATTGTTTAGCAGCAGTTTTAGAGAACTGTAAATTCTTTTATTAACAGGCATTATAAACAGATACTACTACTTTTATTTAAAACCCATGAGTGCCACATTGATGAATATACAGCTCATGAATAACTTAAAGTATTTCCCATATTAAAAGGCAATGCACACAGCATACAAAAAGTATACTAAACCAAGCTAGGAGGATACATGATTGAAGTGTCTAAAATGATATATACAGTACATAATTAATGTTTTCCTTATCTTCAGTACAGGCTTCTGTACTGCCATTCCCATCATGCCTCACTCTCCCCTGACACTGAATTTTGCACTTCCTCTTCCAAAATCGGTACAATCAGGTTATCCTTGGACATCAGGTTATACTTCATCACAAACTTAGTGAACCGGTGACACAAGAAGGTTTCATTCTGGAGATGAAAAAAGGGAGGAAAAAAACCAATATATACAAAAGGAATATTTTAAACAATTGAGGAGAACATGCTCAAAACCCCTGCTTACATGTAATTGCCTCATTACATTTCCAAGTCTTAGAGAGAAGTAGTAAGACTTAGATGGTACGTTTACATTACTTCTTTTACATCTCTCCTTTACTGCTGGCTTATAGTTACTGCAATTAACAAAAAAGTCTCAGCTCAACTCAACAGCACTTAGACAAGAATATATTAAAATATCAAGGTAGTCCTGCTCCACTCTCTAAAAGAGAATTTTAAGGTATTTTGAAACTCCTCCTACACATGCTATCCCTAACAACAGGGCACAGCCATTCCATAGCTGTTCCAGGAACCTTACATGGGATTTGGCAAAGGCTCCCCCTTTCTAGCTATTAAATTCTACTTTTCCATTAAAAAAAAAAAAAAATTGGAAGTTATGGAGATGCACAAGCTGCCACCAGGTACTCTGGTTTATTTCAGTTTTACAGTTATAATTCCTTAACCATGTGTAAGTTTAATTTTATCCAAACATCTATACATAAAAACATCTATACATAAGTAGTACTAGCCATACTAAGTGCTTGAATACATTCAGGAATCTTTAAAATGAGATGAATTTGAGTTGTTTGCACAAAAACTCTCAAATTCTGACCTTTGGTCCAAATGAAAGGAAACCATAACTGGGTAAACTAATCATATAAATCAGTTTTCATTTAAATATATGTATAACATAGCATTTCAGTTCTTAAAAAAAAATGTAATCTACTATAATCAATGCTTCACTTGAATGCAGGTTTTCTGGTAGGACTAAAAGAAAACACGTCATGCAATTACATCACAGCTGTAACGCCAGTAAAGGCCCTTCTTTCAAGACATAATTTGAAACTACTTACTTCGTATTCATCAAATATCTGCCGGTGATGAAAATAAGCGTGTGAAAATATTCTGTAAATCCTTCGGCACACTGATCCTAGTTTGGCTACAGAGGATTCCTTTATGCTAACCCTGTAAGCACCGGGAGAAAGGTTACAGAACAGGTCTACCGAAACGACTGCCGAGACACGCGTTGACATGAATCCTGACTGTTAACCTACACTATATAACTGCGTATGAAATTTGGACTGAAGCCTTGCAGGTACCTGTGTCTGCAATTGCATACTTTTGGAAGGGAAATAAACACGTTGGTGCATACTCCACGTTTAAAAATTCTACTCCGACTACAGAAAAGTTTTGCCTCTAGTTAAACATCGTCAGTTATTCTGGTAAGAGCTGGATTTCTGGTTTCTAGCATTGATGGGCACAGGGAAAAGATTTCCAGTTGTACTCCCTTACCAATACCAGATTCCTGGAGAAGCACAATTTTGACTTCTCCAGTTAGGTTTCCGTGATCCAACACGTGGGCTGCCCAGTCAGCATACTTGGTCTCTGTCTTCTGCAGTCTCTGATGTCCCACAGTAGACTGGTGTTGGCCTCTGGAGGCTTTCAGTGCCATAGTGTTTAAGTCCTTTTAGCCACTGCATCTCTCTAAAGGCCATCCTGTTACTTAGGTTGGCACTACTTTGATGGAAGCCCCGTGACACCAAGAGATATTAGTAGAACAGTGTCCACCTAAAAAGCACCCATCGGCTCCAGTAAACGGCAAACTATCTGAATAGGCAGGAATTCTTTCTTGGCTTAAAAGTGACAATGGGCCTACCAACAAGTGACACGTGCTGCAGGATTTCTGATCATTTCAGCAATAGTCTGTGCAAAACGAATTACGCGTTTCCACGTGCTTTGTAAGCATTTAGGTGCCACCTACTCCCTCCCTCTCTCCCTCCTCCCAAGAGAAAGCATTTTTACCTGCTGGGGAAATATTTATTGCTATTCAGAAGACATGCAGCTCCATCAAGTGTGTGTCTGGTGTAGTCTATAGCAGGACACTACAGAAACAGACAGTGAGTAAGCACAGGTATGAGTGCACGCACGACAGTGTCATGTAACTTGTTTAAAGAGAAACATTTTAATTATGTTTCCTGATGCTTTTAACTTCACTGGTTGTTTTTATTCCCAGAAGTTTCACATAGCTTCTCTGCAGATCTAACTACATTTCCTCCTTAAGTGAGCCATTTCTTTTCTCTGTTTCACAACTCATGTAAATTATGTCAAGAAAAAAAGTGGAAATGCACATGAGTAGTGAATTTTATGCATCTCCTTAAGTAAGGCTGTATAAGAACACATACTGGAAACACACTGAAAGGATGATTGTTACCTCACAGGTCATTTGTTTCCCACATCGTCAAATTGCCAGACTCTTTCTTTTACAGCCTAAATTAACATCGTAACAAAAAACTCAGCCTGCACCTAAGTATATCAATGCTTTTTACCCCGGCAAACAAAATCACTAGTGTAGCTAAGTGGTATAACAAGCCAAACCGTGGCTCTGCAATCCAGTACGCGTAGAGGAGCAGGAAGAAAGCAAAGATGAACAGAGACCAGCTGAAAGTGCAGGAATGTCTGTGCATTTTGCCATTCCCCAATTTCAGGAAGAAGATTTCTCAGTTGTACATTTTTGTCAGCAGTTCAAGGCTGCATCACCCGCTATCATCTGACCATTAGCCAACAGCTATTACCGATGTGGAAACCAGTAGATGAATGATGTGTGTTCAGAGATGCAAAGCAGCCTGAAATTCTCCAGTTGAGCTGAGTAAACCAGACTCAGTGCATGCCAGTATACTGACTGGGGATGAGGGTTGAAGGAGGGAGTGGGAGAGAAGCTGGCCTTCAGAGCTAAATCACAGAATCATAGGAAATTAAAAAAAATAAAAAATAAAACAAAAAAAAAGCTTACAGGACAAAAAGGATAAGGTAAAGAAGAACTAGTCCCTTATTCTGAAAGGTGAAATACAAGGATAAATACAACAGACTGCACTATCGCCATAACCAATAGCAACAGAGAAAAGACCTTCTGAAGGCAAAAAAAAAAAAAAAAAAGAGATGTATCAAGTTGTCCAATTTGGACACTCAAGGAGACAAGCTACTGCCATGACGATAACCCACTCGACATAAAGTATTTTTATGACTCCACCACCACCTTTTAGGAGCAACTTCCCTAAGAACGTGCGCAGGCGGTCACTTTCGGAGTGTCAGGCTTACATGCCTAGTGCTATGGATGGAGGCCAGAGTTTGAAGAGGACAGCCCAGTCTCAGCATGCACTCTTTCAATTAAACAAAGACCTCTTGCCATCGAGTTTCAGGCTGTCTCAACACAAATTAAGAGAGAAAAGAGGGGAACGTGCAGAGTCTAATACTGTGGTAAAAAGCAGTTCCATCCTACCTCATCCCGTTCTTTTGTAAACCACTACAGAACGGGAAAGGAAGAAACCTCCAGTGATATTCTTAACACACATAAGCTCTCGGTTTGACTAAGAAGCCAACTATGACAGTCTCCCCACGAAGTGTGAAAGAAAATCCTGCGTCAGTGGGGACAGCTTTCCAAAACACATCCATACCTCTTTGGGAGTTTTATGAGCTGCACAAAGAAAAATCCACTGTTCAGTTGCTGTCATCTGAGTACATGTGTCTGGGTGACATTCACTCTGTTAAAACAATTGTTTGGTTATGAAAACCTCGCAACAGCAAACACGGGCTCATCTTTTCAAATCGCTTTCTTGCCCCGTCCCCCACCAAAAAGAGTTATTTGCCAGAAGTCTTTAAAACCCTAAAAACCTCTTACCTCAAACCACTGCTTAAGTCTATGCGTATAAATTTAGAAGACAACTCTGCATCTTACAGTACAAAAAAAGTCTCCTCCCTGATACAAGATAAAAATACCAAGAAAAGAATTACCTGAAGCTTGACAGCTAGTCCATTGAGCTCAAGGCAGAATTGCCTAAAAAAATTTGAATACAGCAGCATCAAAATCAACAATTTGTTCTCCCACTGGAAACATCTAATACAAAACAACGTTATACATTCTGATCTTCTCTACAGATCCCTTAACGTTTTTGGAAATTATTCTTGTAAAACGAAAAAAATACATCAGAACATGGAAAAAATCTTACTTAAAGAATACCATCAAATAATTTCAGCTGACGTCGCACCTGAAAAGGCAACGGGCTAGGAATTATCACACTATAAAAGGACTACAAGTTGAGAGAAACAGAATTCACACCAGCATATTTTTTTTCACTCAGCAAAACAATTATATTGTAATTCTTACCTGAATTAGAGGCTGAGCTTAACAAACAGTTTAGTGGACGTGTTTAAGATACCAACTTTTTTATGGAAGAAAATGCTATTTCACAAATACAGATTTTAAAAAAAAAAAAAAAAGAGCACACTTCAAGAAAATTAATTTCTTAAGAGTGTAAGTTTTAAATTCATATAGCTAGATCGTTCCACCCTTCTAAGATATACTTCCTCCGTATCAATTAAGTGGCTAAAGTCCCACCATAGATCATTACCAGAGTGGGACGTCTAGAAATACTGCTTTCACTAGAACGAACCTGAAAGTGCATTTTTTAACTTAAGAGAATTCACCTCTCCATCCTATAAGAAACATCTGAATAAATTTCCAAAAGTGACAAGTCACTTCTACAAATCTACAAGGATTGCAGTGTATGTCAAAGGATGGAGGAAATTCTTTAAGTAATTCTTTTGCAATTGTATATACGCGGTTTTTACTCTTCTGAGGATTCCCTATTCCAGACCAGAGGAGAGTAAAAGAAAACAGGAGGCAAAAAGTCAGGATATATAAATTTAGGAGTAGCTTAGAACTATTCTTATTCCTGAAAGTATATTTGATAAAGTCGGAAGACAAGAAAAAAAATCAGGACACAAGGATACTAAAGTAATGTCAGGAAAAAAGGATTAAGACATATGTATTAACAGGGTATAAACCTACACTACAACTGAAAAATCCTTTCAGGCACAAACTACCTAGGCTGAATGTATTTTTTTATACTGCGTAAAAGAAACAGAGAAGGACAAAAAGTTTTGAGTTTCCTTACAACTAGGAAAAGAATTGTAAGATGTACTTTTGCTTTCCCAGCTAAAGCCTGTTTTCCTGCAAGCTCCAGAAAAAGCACTGGGAGCATCTAGAGGGAAGGAAATCATATTCCCAATTAGCGGAGATGAAGAACTGATGATACTGGGAGAAAGCACTATGGAAATCCATGACTATATTTTCGTTTTCAAAACATGTTAGTGCAACTTTTGAAGTGAGGTACCAACATTTTCTTAAGAAACATCAAAAACAGTAGATCAGAACACACTGTAAATCTTTAGAAAGAACAAGGAATTCAGAAAATAATACCAAAGCATAAAAATATTTAAGAGTAGAAATCTCAAATTTCATTCAGGTTACTTCGGATCTGTCCTACTCAAAAAGACTCACTGCCACTATCAATGAACAAAACTTGGAATCGGGACACTATGTTGACAAAAGACGGATTCTTACCTTAAATGTTCATACTTCCATACACCTTCATCCTGGCCTTCAGGAGGTTCAAGGATCTTATCAATGTTGGAACAGTCTGCCCTTATGTTCTGCTGAATATACTAGGAGGGGAGGAAAACAATAAATCTAGATCTTGTTGTAATTGTAGTTAAGACGGTATATTTAGGACATTACATCTTTGAGGGACTTTTACGTTTTTTCTTTACTTAAGAAGTGACTGAGGGACTAAAGAGTGGATAAGCAGGGTAAGAAAACTGGTATAAAAATTGCCAGATCTGAAAAATGCCTTTCCTCAATTAAGAAAGGTAAAGAATGGGTAAGTTTTACAGCTTTTTTACAACATCCTTCTCAAAACAAAAGAACCCCACAGGAAACCACCATTTTCTTAAATCTTATTTGTTTAAACCAGACATGGGAATTCTAGTTATTTCTGCGTACACAATTAATTCAGATTTTTTTAATATACATAGAGTGTTTAAGAAATTCACTTCTGTGCAGCAACATTCCAAGCAGATAAATAGCATGCTCTGTTCCCTGGGTTTTTTTTTATCAAAATACAAAACTTGGGAAACTGAACTTATTAACAACATTTCACAAAAGAAAGTCTACCTGCTAACCAGCCAATGTACTATCCATTTCTTCAAAGGATTCATCAGGCCAATTGTAGAAATCCTGTTAAAAAAAAAGTTTAAACAAATTTAACAAAAATAGGAGGGGAGAAAGAAAAGCACGCGACCTACAATAAGCTTGAACATGCAGGAAAACAGATGTAGAGGTAGTTTCTACAATTCCAGGAAGCTGCATCTTAACAGCAGCAGCACACAATCTTGGCAGGAACAGGGTAAGATGGGACTTACGCTCCTAATGTCACAAGAGCAGAACAATATCACGAAATGAGAGTTCTGAGTGACTCGGCATACTACAAACATCGTCTCTCCACCAGTAAGTTCCATCTTACTGTAACACCTGCGTAACCTGTACTTTTTAAACGAAGTGTTTGCACACAGTGCCCGTGTTACATGTTAGGCTGTGTGAGTAAGAGTGGGGAGGAAAAGAGGTCTGTAGAGAGCGGCGTTATATAACTCTTACTAAACTGAAAATCCCAGTATATTCTAGTAAAAACACACTACTGAAAACATCTTCTCTACACTGAGATAACACAACGTGGTGCTGGCCTGACTCGGTACTGCGTTCTCTTGGTATGGCCAGTGTGCTGCACAACTGGAAGGTTATCAGCACTGCTACCCCACGGGGTTTATTTAATATTGTTAACAACAAAATCTTCCTAAAGTTTCACCTCAGATCCAGCTGTACTGCAGTGTTCTGCAGTTCACATCTGGTGCAACTCTCACAGTCCCAGACATACTTACTTGCTGTTTTTCACATCTAAAATTTAGTGCTGCACCCTCTTATTATCCAGAGATTCTGCACATCAGCCTCCCATAGCTGTCCTAGTAAACACAACGACTCCATGAAAACGTTCCAACTGTAAAAGCTTAGCAATCTGTTGAGAGCATACACACATCTCTCGAGAAAGGAGTGAATAGCCAGTGCTGAAATATCATTAAGTAACTGTATTTATACACTGAATAGCTGTACCACAGCATCATCCAAAATTAAAACTTAAATACAGCCCCCAAAAATCATGACTGCATCACTATACACAAAATTCTTCAGCCTACATGAACTTATAATATATTTTGTAATATTTGAACAAATCTACGTCCATCTTAATGTCTTTCAGAATACCCCAAATTTATCAAAACAGAAGGCACCCAACGTTCAGTTTCCTTCACAGATGAAACACGTACAGAATGAACTGACTGGCAGCGTTGTGTAAGAATTTTCCCTCTGCACGTTACGACACGGAACAGGAGGAGAGAAAGAGATGCGCTTCCCTACAGCACCGTGTCACGCACTGCTCTGCTGCCGGCCGCGAGCTCTCCTCGCACGAGCAGAGTGGGAAAGCCTTTGGCAAAGGCCTGGCAGGTTACATCTCCGAGGTAACCAGGAAACGCAGCTGACGTGTTTGAGGTGCCCCTTTTCGAAACGACCTCGAAGCCAATCACTTCCATGTCGATTACGAGGAGCGAGTTGCCCGGAGCCCCGGTTCGGGGCGAGAGGGGCGCGGGGCCCGCGCGGGGCGGCCGGCTGCTCTCTCCGGTCGAGCGGGCG